CATAGATTATTATAATATACAACATATGATAATATTTATTATATTATTAATATGAACTTATTTTATAATATTATAATCTATGTTACATATATTTTATGTTTTTTTATACTTTATTTTAATAAATTAGTTAAATTTAACAGTTTTTGAAGAGCTATATTCGGTGTCTTAATATTATAATATTGTATTTTCAATTTTCATTAATGTATGCATCTATAATATTCTATATAGCTGTGTAGGAGGTACCTACCATAAATATATAATTGAATAATTCGATTAGATTGAAAATTTAATATCATGTATTAAAGTTTCGAAACAAAATGTATGAAAATAATAATTTTAAGCGCCAAGATGGAATATTGTATTAAAATAACCAATAACTTATTCGTCTTAAACGATATAATTACGAGCAGCAGACAACTTTTTTTTCAAAGTATACATTTATCGAGGTGTTCAGTTGTCAGAACCGGCTTTTTGATAAAAAAAAAAACTCATTTTAACTAGCACTATACCTACTGTTAACTACTGGAATTTTCGGAATTATAATATTAATTACTATAATATTATAATTTATAACATAGTATTCAATATTATATATTCCAACCAAACGAAAAGTTAAATAATTTACAACTCTTATTAGTGCACTAATAACTTTTATGAACCTACATGTATTTTTCAAAAAAACAATTATCTACACAAACAAATTCAATTAAAGTCCAATGTTATATATAAATTATATAATGTTATGTATAAATTATAATATAATCGGTAGTAATTATTAGTAGGTAGTATTCAAACATACTTTTTGTGCAATATTTACTCAGCCTATACACTTAATCAAATAAGTATTTCATGATAGTCGTGATGTTTTTATATGTGCTTGCATATTATATGACAGTATACAATATTTTTTTTAACTTTGGTCAATTTACATGCATAGGTATAGTTTAATATAATATAGGCAGGTATAACATACAAACAGGTCATTTTGTAGCAGCATTTTTACCCCAGCCCGAGAATCGACGTACTAAGATAGTTAGACCAATTACCTTTATATACTTTGAGCAATGGACTTTTCAAACGATCGAAGTTTCGTTAACTAATGAAACTATCAATTAAACCACTGCCCACAACAAACATGTTGTCTCACTGCAGTAATTACATGTATGACGTACACACAATTTCGTTGCTTATACGATTCTACTTTAAAAATAAAATTAGTCGTTTAATGATATTATTGTATACTAATCAGTGACAGCTATACCTATCAACGCCATTACCTATAATATTTATTATTTTTGAATTAATATTTAAACAACATTTCTGTTGTTGTTTTTAAGTTTTATTTAAAATTTATTTCATAAAAAAATATGTCTTTTAGATATAATTAGTAATTACCACTAAAATATAGTTGAAATATCAAAAATGATGGTATTTATTTATATGGTTTTAACATTTTCACTTCACACGATTGGAAACTATCAAACTAATCTATTAATAGCTGCTCATTGTTTTCTATTATTACTTGTAATACATTTTGGTATGTTCTACATTAGATCAGTGTTACTCTAATTTTTTTCCCGCGGAGTCTCCTAAATTTAATGTAAAACTGTCAAGCCCCCCCCCCACCCCAAGTTTTAAATTTTTTTCCTGGAGAGTTACTTTTAACCTAAAAAAGACCCCTCATAAGCGTCATAAATACTTAAGACATTAAAAAAATAAATGTATTCAAATGTTTCGAAGCCCCAGTAATGTACTCAGGGCACCAGTTTGAGAAGCACTGTGTTGGGTAGTTTCTATAGGCGACTAGACCAGTTTATTTTGATTCTCTTAGTTATGTTACTAGAGATGGTTTTGAAGAATTTAGTATTCTTACTCAGCAGTAAATTTTAAGCTGTCGACTAAACTTTTACGTATGAGTTGGGTTAGTGAGTTTTTAATTTCCTCGCAATAAGCGGGGACATTATTTTTTTAGATTTGATGATTATAATAGATGGAGATATATTGATTCTTTTCTCTCTACATCCATATTCGTTGAACTGGGGCTGTCTAAATCATCTTCAACTAAGGTGGCATTGCGGTTGTTAGAGGTATCTTGTGAAGAAATCCCCTCGTTAATGGAATTTGATTTTGGCAAAGATCATGGTTAGCGGAAACGCTTAATCTGTATTGGTGAGGTAACTATCATCTGCAGTGTTCGAGTCTATATCATTTGTACCGCTATTATCAGATGCTAATTTTTGAATGGTGTATTTATTTATTATTTTAACTGATGATATTCTAGTTACATAGTACTTAAGCCATAAGCATATGTGATTTTAATCCAAATACCTAAGTCAAATATATAATATTTATAAATATTAGCATGTTATTGTGTTTCTAAGAAAATATAACTAGGATATAGAAAATTCGAAATGGGACTAAGAAGCCCTTAAGAATTATCAGTCGAATTAGAAAAAGTTAAGTTTTTCCTACCTATGTTTAATTTGTTACTATAGTAGGTACTTGAAACGTTAGGTTTTCAAGTAAATCTGTGTAATCTATAAAATTAAACTATTTGAATATAAAAAAAATACTATCGAAAAATTTTGGTTAAGGTCAACCTCATTTTTTATTGGAAGAATTATTTTGTTTATTCTTCAGAATCACAGACATTTTGATTATTTATTCTATTTTAAATAATACTGCTTTCCTAAGTCAATATATTACGTATACATTTTTTTATTTTTAATCCCCTTGCTGTTATCATATGAACTATTGTCTATTCCTAAGTCAACTAAGTAGAACGAGAATTATGGTAATTATTTTACCAAATTAGGTGTTACAATTTTTTTTTTAGCATTTATTTATTATATTTAATGTTTGATCAAAACCCATAAGTTAAAATGTTTATGTAGGTACCTATATAGTCTAAACGTTCTCAATAGGTTAAAATGTTAATGACTTATTCCTAAAAAACATATAACTTAACAGAATCGTTTTCGTTATGTTAATTGAGTAATATATTTATTAAAACTGTACCTCACAATTTTAAGCACTGGCATTTTTTCTATTGGTGTTTATGACTATGCATGCAAATAATTAATTTATGAGTATACATTAAAAGTTTATAATAAAATTGTAAAAATAATTTAATTTTGTTTGAATAAAGAGTAGGTACATTGTTAAATTAATATTTATTTGATTCGTTTTCTTTAAGTTGTAGATTTGTTTTGACGAGTTTTAATGAAGTTTAATATTATTGCTTTCTTATACTATTGTAAATACATTAATTTATATAACATTATATTTCAAAAAGAAACCTAATAAAATATTTGCTATTTTTTAATTTCTCTTTTTTAACTTTGTCGCAAAAAAAATTGTATGAAATTGAAATAACAACGATTACATTTATTATATTATATTATATAATCTGCACAACATTGTAATAAATGAATATTTCACAATTTCTTAATACACAACTATATTATTATATATTATTAATATATTTGTAAAATGTCGGAATTTTGTGTGGCCTGTATAAAAAACAATATTTAAATTAAAATTAAAAACTATTAAGTTCAGTTATGTTTATACTTATTACTTAGATAATAATTTTATCGTAAATACATTGTATCTATACATTTTGAGTGTAAAATAAACTGTCATAGCAGCTAGGTACCTATACTTGAAAATGTATATTTTAAATACATTAAATACATACCAACTGTACAATTAAAAAAAATACTCTATTTTTCACAATACCTACTGCATAATACACTATATGGACTGTGTATAATTTTAAATATAAGTATAACTATCTAATACTATTATGAAAACAACTTTATAATATTTAACTTAAAAATATAATCCAGTGGTATCTTGTGGTTTTGCGAGAGTCAAACATAATGCAATAGATTATCTAAATAAGTAAACACATCAATTTTTTAAAATAAAATTTGAAAAAGGCATGTATGAATTAATTATTATTATTAACAATATTACAGTACTACTTCATTTCAAAAAATAATACATTTATACATATTATTATTAAATAATACTATTTAATTAGTAATAACCGCAGCACCTACTCATAATCATTTTATAATTCATAAACTATACCGACCAATAACTTCATTAATTTTTCCTATTATTTATTATTCTAAATATACATAATTCAAAGTAACCAATTAAATGGATTGCACTATATACGATTTAAAACTAGGTGTTTAAAAACGAATTTTTGTCAACCCTATATGGTATAATATTATGTTTTACTATTTTAGTTATGAAAATATAAAATTATCCATGATTTTCTTTGAGGATTTCAAATTTTAACTATAAAAATTTACAAACAGACTGTACTCATTTACGAGCAGACTGTACTCACGATTGAAATCTAATCCTTTACCAGGAATTACACAACATCACAAACGTTTAAATAATGAAGATCGATAAAACAGAACAATGTAGTGTTTAAACCATATAATATACTGTATACTAGCTAGAATTGTTAAGCCCCATCATCTGCTGCACTTATAATAATAATATGGTGTTACACTACTATTATAATAGTGCGTATGTACCTACCCACCATAGATTACGAAGAGTAGTATTAACTAGCTAGATATTTTAATTTATTATGATTTTATTTTTTTTCAAAACCCCTAAAACCGCATCATTTTACAAGCGAACCAATAGTGTGATGCCGGTTAATAATAGGAATAAAAATATTAAATACGTCACGAGTCGATAATAAAAATATTACAAAACGTGTTTGGTGCATTGTATTCCAAGTACCTACAGTCGCCATTTATAATGCAATTTGATAGAAAATCGAAATTATTGTGATAATATTATATTAAATCGTCAAACGGTTTTATTAATATCGATTATCGACACACTGCAGGCAAAAAAAAAATGTGTTGAGCGCATTGTGTTTTTGAATTGGCACGTCCGATTTATGTGATGATATTGTTTTGCTTATGTAAACTAATATTATTATTTGTTTTTATTTTTTACAGACAAGAACCGTAACCGGACCAGAATACGAACGCAATCGAATGACATTAGAGACTCTGCATTCTTATCGAAGGACGAAAGTACGTCATAACCGTTTGTGTCGAACCAATAAAATTACATTTCATCTCCCGTGATTTTCGTATTCATCCTATGCGTTCAGTAGGGTACAGAGTGCGCAAAAAAAAAATGTATAATGCACCAATACTACAATGCGATAATGTTAAGCAAAACGTTTACCGTCTAGGGGAGGTTTCGTTCTGATTGGATTATTGTGCGAGTGCGTCTGACTGTACACAACCAATTTAAAATGCTTAGGTACATCGAGAAGTTAACACAGATTTATTTTTCGTTTCAAGTAAAAATAAAAAAGGGAATAATAAAAACAATATAACGTTTTTTCACTTATTTTGTTTCTTCAACTCTAAATAATAATAATAATAAAAAAAAAAACAAACAAACAAACAAACACGGCTCATAACTCCTGCTGTAGTCCTGTGTGTCAAACACACTCAGTCGTCACGAGAAAACTAGAATATAATTTGCAATATAAAGAGCGAAGACCTTAAAAAAAAAGGTTCAGATATAATAACGGTAATAACCTAAACCCGAAAGATTCTTATTTTCTTCTTCTTTTTTTTACCTCATGTTTATAATTTTTGATTCGCCTGGAGCACACATTTTTCGTACACATAAAAATGAGGCAGTTTATATTTTTCACTAAAACTTTTAGTAGATACCTTGAGAAAGTTTTCTTTTAAAACAGGCTATTACCGTTTACCGTATTCGAAGAAAGCAAGTTTCATTTTATATTTTTGTATTACTTATTACGTTATTTAAATATGTATATATATTATGTATTCATTATATACTGTTACATAATATGATTATAATAATTGTTTGACACAAACAATATTTAATTTATTTGTATCAGTTTCATGTTTTTTGCAATACACATAAAATAAATAGATAATAAATCATAATATTAGATGAACGTCTTACAATAAAAGTGTAATAAAATTATGTGGAGGGTGAATAACTATTTATAGTTAACTTAACTAAGTACCTATAAACATTTTTAAATTTACCAACCACAATTTATAATTGAATAGTACAATATTACAATAAGAGAATAAACCTGGAATTGCAAATTATTTTTCTCGCCCAAAACCAAACATTCAGACGCTACAATTTTTTTTCAATTTTAATTTAAATTTACACATTTTAATGATTTAAAATTTAAATTAATTAAATTAATTGAGCTGCAACTTTAAAATACTTGTATTATTTTTACATATTTTATTAAATCCAGTTAAACTTACAATTCGTTTTAATATACCAACTGTGGACAAGTTTTAATTTTTAAGATATTATATTCTTATAATAAATTTTTGATTTTGAATTTTGATTGACCTTTACAGTGACTATACGGGGCTTAAAGTTTTAAAAGTTAAGTATCTATTCTAATAAGAATGATACAATGTAAATAATATTTTTTCCATAAGCCATACACTCTACAGGACTCCTGATGAGTCCACATGTCATATGAAACAATTTTGTTTGAATCTAAGAATGGCTACTCCTTTGTGATAATAATTAACCATCCTTGAAATTCAAGTCACTGATGACATTTAAAACAATCAGAATACTGAACAATGAATTATTTCAGGTCTGAAGAAATATGTAGTAGCTTCACTCCGTAATCTATTTTAATCTTGAAACGGGTCATTTTCCTTAATTTATATGATGGAGAATAATATGATAAATAATATTTAGTGGCATGTGTATTATAATATTTCTATACCTACGTGGCTACGTTTATATTGAAATCTGAAGATGATCTTTTACATGATGTTTAAAGTTTAAACCACTTATTTAAAATGTATTTATGTCGACGAAGAAATAAAAAAAAACCTGTACATCTCATATGAAAACGTTTCATCTGTTATGATGGAAATTTGTTCAAGTCCAACTTGTGAGGGAATTCCTCGTGCATCTGTCATTTATTAGTTTTCATTTACAGTTTATTGTGTGCCTAGGTGAGTCGTTATTTAAATATTATACCAAAGTAACGAGTACCTTTAGCAGTGGGAAAGGTTGGTGATAAAGTATGTGCCTCCCTCGGAAATTGTCTGAAACTGCAATAATGTAGTAGGTATTGATTTGTTCTCTTTTAATTCCCCATCACTCGTTGTACCAAAGAGAAAGGAGTTTTAATATTATGTAAGTTTGAAAATATTTTGTGGCTATTTAGAGATCAGAATGAATTTTAGTGTGGGAAGCATGACTTTATAGTCATCAAAGTCACCTACTACAATCCTAGAATAGTACCAGTGGTCGGAGTAGAAAATTGTTTAAGCCAGAACACTAGCCACTATCACTAAGCCAAATGTTGGCATTAATTACTATAATATGTTCCAGAACGATTCATATTTTTTATCGTACTTTTTCTCTTTTTAGTTTTTACGACTGGCTGATGACACATCAGCAAAATGTCGACCTTTATTAACCCATGACCGCACGTACTTTTGCGGCTGGTACTGTGTTAGAGGAGATCCCACACAGTTTATAAATAATAGTGCAGCAACAGTTTGTTCACTTAGTGAAGTTTTTGGTGAAAAAAAAATTATTTATTCATTCATTCATTCATTCATTGCATTAAAATAAAAACGGAATGCTAAAATTGTCTTTTTTTTAACCGGAACTATGTTCCGTTACATTCCAGTCCACTCCGAGCGCACTATATTTGGAATACTGAATATTGTTAGGAGATGTGTGCATGCGAGATGAAGTGCATTATAGTACTTCTAGTGGCACTGGTGTAATTTATTTTAAGTTATAACAATAATACAATATTATAATTATTCAACTATCAACAAACTCAAAGGTACGTTTAATTTTTTTGCAGATAACGAATTGCAGACAAATTACGACGACGATGGTGAATTTGAAGAATACGAATCCGGATCGCAAACTCATCAACTAGCGATTTACACCGCGATTGTATGCGTAATCACGTTGGCGTATGGGCACGAGTGACTCGAAAACACTACAAAAAATACCTTGTCCAATAAAATTAAGATTTATTATAATAATTTACTTATACGCATAGATAATATTAATATATAATATTGTATGTTGTTAAGTCTGAAATGTTTTTGGTCCTTTCGTGGTTTGATTTTATTTTTCTAGTCCGGTTTCTTGGAATAATGTATTAATTACTATACACTTGAATTCAACTATGTATAGTAGTATTATATGAATAGGTTATGATACATAAGTATATAAATATACAGGGTGGTTCTTTTAACAGTAAATATGTACTTATTATTTTGAAAAGTATTAACGTTTTAAAAAAAAAATTTTCTTATAATTTGAACTCATTATAAAACACAGGGCTGCATCAATAAATTTTGCACCCTATTGTAAAAAAAAAGAGCCTTCAACGATGGCCTAGCCACGAGGAATATGAGAGATAGATCCTCATAAACTTTTTACATAATAAGCGACGTAAAGAATCAAGTAGTTTTACAATATTGTGTGCTTTTTTAAAAATATTGTTTGATAATTTCATGAACCCCGCCATTCCCTTCCAGACGATAAAATCGAGTGTTGGAGCAGTACTTATAATTCATCACATAAGTTGTTTTTTTTACATATTTAGGTACTTCATGGATCGTGTTAAGATGACAGGAATTAGTTGTCTTCGTCTTATAAGTTCATAACATAACAAATAACATATCAGCAGATCACATTTAAATTCATTAGTTTAAAAATTATAGTAAATTCGTTATCAAGTAAAACTTGATGGTAAAGACATTATATTATGTATGTATACGATGGTTTTTTACGACAGTTCAATTTTTAGCAAGTTCTGTGTATATTATATTATGGCGTAAATTAAAAATGCTCCTAACTCACTCAAAAACTGAACTACCGCAAAAACCCCAAATTCAAACACAGATAAGGTTCTTACCATCAGGCTTCATTATAGGTAGATTCGCTCTAATTTTTAAATTCGAGAAGCTAAACGTGATCTACTGAACGTAAATTTGGTATGTGGTATATAATGGCTTGTAAAACGGGGATAAAAAATGTTTGTGTAGCGTCCTCTTAATAAATTACTATGAAAAAATAAAAATAAATGTAATAAAACTAAATTATAAACTATGCGAATCAATATTATTATTTTTTCCATACACAATTGATTATAAACAATTTTAATAAAAACGATTATTGTTTAGAATCTTATACTTAAATTGTTGATAAAGTTAGGTAGGTACCTAGGTATCTTTCTTTAGTTTATTAATTATTAAAAACTGTATGTATTATTTTAATAAGTTTTACCTATGTGGTTTTATATATGTATTTTAGAATATTAAATTAGTGTTTTGAGCTTTAGAGTGCAAAATTAAGATAATTTTTGAAATAATTTTTATGTCTATTGAATCACTACAAATTTGAGGAAATGACCTATTATTAGGTATATTAATTCTCCATCAATTGTGTTCTAAAATCAAGCATCAACCGGTGTCTCTAGTTCCCGGATGGGTGACCAAAAGGGTTTTTCTCACAAACTCTTACCACATATACATATGTCCTAACCTAACCAACCATACCCTCCCCCACAGTAATAAACCAACTAAAATAAACCAGGATAATGATTTCAAAATATGTTGAAGCCTTAATTCAATAAAAAAAAAAAATAATAATAATTTGCGATCGCTGTATACTATAAATACATAAGGTGTATAAAAAATATGAATACCAAACAACATTATAATATACCATCAATATATTACATAATATAAATACTTATTATATCATATAGGTAGGTACTAAAACAATTTCAGTTTTACAAGTTTTAATTTAACAAGTTCACAAGTTACCGTGAAATTCTGCTATTCAGGGCAGATGTCACCCCCCCCCCCTCCCCACTAAATGTGGATTTGATAAAACAACATTTTTGAAAGACAAAATGTTTATCGTTTTCATGTTTATTCGTTAACTATTTTGAATAGCAATATTAATTTTAATTTCATATTCCTGAACAGAATTTTTGTCTGTTAATTTGTACCTATGTATATAAATTGAATTTCAAGCTATAGTACCTACCTTGATAATTAATTGTGAATCAGTATTTTAAGTATAAATAGGCGAAATGGAGTTGAGTAGCATAGAAATAGGCACCCCAAACCGTTTTGGTCGACTACTCTTTAGCTCATCTAAATTTGAAATATTTATAAGACAACCAAAAACTTTTTAAAAAATCTAATAAAAAAAAAAGAATAGTAACTAATTACTATAGTGTTTTTTTTTCAAAAACGTTGCTTATATAGTGTAATAAATATATTTCTAAATCGTTAACACTTTTTGTGATGATGAGCGTTTAATGTTAAAAGAATCATACATATAAAAAAAAAAATTAGAATTAATTGATAGTAAAATAAATGTTGTAGTAAGATTAAAATATATTATATTATATTCTTTAATGTTATTATGCAGATTTGTACATAGTGTATACATATCATGTGTAATATACTAATATACATATACATTATACATATATATTATGGTAATATGTGTGTGTGTATATATAATACTTTATGCAAACAGACTCCGTTAGCATTGTTTTAACTATTAAAATATATTATAAGAAAATAATATTGTTGTCCATTATCGTAGATTTGTTTTAGTGAATTATTTTTCATATTAGTCCTGTATATTTTCGCCTGATAAAAATGTGTTGTGTCTTGTGTGCATATCTATATATATATATAAGCGTAAACAATTTAATTAGATGACAAAAAAAAAATACGCGTTTGTAAAATCACGCTTGCTAAAAAAAAAAAAGACTGAATGAATGAGTGAGCATCAAGTATATTTTGTATCGTAAACTTGGCTCTCCATTAATAAAATAATAATGAACGTTTAACGAAACTGTCTGTATTATTTTACGACTTAAGATATTATTACACGTATGTAAGGAACATAAACTTGTACATATCATTTGATGCTATCCATACGGAATTATTTTCAAGTCCGCACTTTATTCATTTCATTGAAACATAACGCGATTATGCGCAGTATTAGGTACCTACTAATCAATAATTACTATTATTATTATATTATAATTTATCATTACTTTATTATTATTATTGTAATAAAAATAAAAATATGAAAATATCATCTGCGATGTACGTCCTACTCTAAAACGTTCTCTGCATATTATTGCAAAATCGAATACCTAAGTGATGATAAGGATAAGAGAAATCATTTAAAAATATTTAGTGGTTATTTGATGTTATTGCATATCTTTAAATCTTAAATAAAATGAGTACCTTTATTTTATCGTAACATTGGGTTTACATAGTATACATTTTTATAGTTCAAGAACCATACAATTTGTTCAATAATTATAAAATAAATGTAAAAAACAAATTGTTTATTAGGGACATTTTATTTGTATTTTAAGTTAAGACAAGGTATGTTATATAATATTATAGTAATAGCTTAATAGTATTTATGTCGTGACTATTTAATGTATATACAATGTCAAACGTAGATACATTATATTGTGTTTAATACTGATAAAACATTTTAACATCGTAAGATGAATAATTTCTGTGCATTTCATCTCAAATAAGTATTAAATATTTTAATAATTAATAATAATTCTATGAGTTCTCGCAATGCTCACAGGCTTGTGATTTACTGACACGTTTTTAATGTATAATTTGATTAATTACCATAACTATTACCTACCAGTTATAACACAATTTGATTGATCCGATGGGTTTTATGTGATAATTATTTCCCGTGTAGTCACGTTTGAGTTTTTAATCAATATTAGATACTATTTGATTCAAGTCTATAAATAAAAGTGAATTTAGTGCATTATGAGACCTGCGGACATTAAGAAAATATTTATATAGCCGTTTTACAAAAGCAGATCAAATGTTTTCTTTAGCTGACTATATATTTTCGTTCATGTTGTAGACATGGTTCAACATTTCACTTTTTTCTTTGCCGACTCTCCTATCATGCGTGTTTCGCTGTAAAATCTTTTAAAATTGTTACTGAAAACTCTAATGGTTTTCGTTTCGATCGTTCGTGTAGTCAGTATGTTGTATTAAAATAAATTACAATATTGCAAGTACTATACCATACATATAAATATATATATATATATACCTACCTACCATCAAAATTAATTAACAGTAGCTAAAGGCGTCCATTAACTAAATGTTCATTATTTATATTTGTATTATAATAAACAATATTATATTCCTAATAAAATATTATATTATACGTTTATAAGTGTTTTAACATATTTTCAATCATACTGTGATGTTCCTATACCTACGTTTCAAAATAATTTTTTTCGTATCTATATTATAAAAAAATAATTTTGATTAGGAACGGCACTCAATATTGTATGACCTACTTTATAAAATATATATTAATACAAAATGTCAAATAATATTTACTTATAACATAAAATTATTAATTATTAAAATGTCAATATCTAAGGTACATCGGCCGTCATCAGATGTATATTATTGTCTCCTTAATCTTGTACTAAAGTTTATATAATAATATATGACATGTAACATAATGTGTTAAAATATCTTGTATTTTTTTTTTTGTTTTTTAGTTGTACTTAATTCGTCAATATTATTATATTACGATAGGTACCCCGTAACCTAAATGTTCTATTGTTCAAATATATTGTCTAAGACTTGTATAATATGCTTTCAATCGCAAATAATCTCACAATTGATAATATGAATTGTATATTACTAAACGTGCACATTTGTCCATTGATATAGACGTAGTAATATTATAAATTGTACAATAACTACTTTTATGATTATTATTGTGTAATAATATTATCAAAGAATAAATGTAATAATAATACTTTGCACGGAACGAATAACGATGGTGGTCGACCCTTAATATGGTTAATGATTTCATTTATGTAAAACTGTTTTAGTAATTTCATTGCATGGCTAAAAACTATATTCCAGCTGTGTAGGTGTTCTATTGTATTTATATTTGGAAAAAATTGAAAATGTTTACCTATCTGATACGACATTTTTTTAAATATAAATTACACATGTTTCTCTAAACTGTTTTAAAGAAAATTAAATTAATTTATAACATTATGTATACGTAGTATAATATATTTTATAGTAAATATAATTGTCTACTTTATGATGTTTATGTGAAGTTAAAAACTCAACAACTCTATTTATAATAATACAAT